TAAGGTTGACTGTAACGTAATAATCTTTATCTTAGTTATCGTTACTTTTGCCCGAGCAACGCAGGCCCACCTGCTAGTATTTTATATTCATGTATCAAGTTTATCCCAAATGCATTTTAATAATGTGCGTTTCTCGAAAACGTTAACAATGATCATTTTAATCTGTAATAAATTCTACACTTATTTTTGTGTAATAATGCAAATATAAATGGACGTCATATTAATATACGTAAGGGACTATCTATTAATTACAAGTACAGTTTTTGAGCCATTTTGGACCCCTTCCCTCCTTGTTTTGTATGGTGATGCACTTTTAGAAAATCCCCTTTCCTTTAATTACGTGAACAATAGTGTATAAACCATCCCTGACATTGAAGAAATGAGAGGTCATTGCATAATCCTATCAGAAAAAAATCCCACCATAGTTTACTATCAAAGGAAAAAGTACATCTTTATTCACTTTAGGCGCAAAACAGATCTTTCCAGCATTGCATAAATTAGTACAAAAAGCCTATATGTCACTATAGCATATGTTCAAAACACCTTGATCTTATTCAGCTAGAAAGTGTTTATGGAATCAACAGTATGTGCTTGCTTCTTATACTTTTCCTGTCGTTCCCTCATTATCATTTCATAGTAAAGTTCGTGAGTATGAGGAATTATCACAGCGCTCTACCAATTAGCAGATTGCATGATATTGACTCTTTTACAAAAAGATCGGCGTTGTTTGTTGCTACATGATTTAGGAAGATCGCGTTTTTACTTTGCATTTTCTTCTCGCGTTTGGACGAATTACACGTTTCTTTTTGAATGAATTAATTTATTTTAGTGCAAACATCGCAGTGAGACTAATCCATTTTATGCGTATATTCATGCAATACTGAAAAGATCTGCTTAGTTTTTAAAGCAAACACTATAATTTTTCTTTTGGTAGGAAACTAGGATGATAGAATTCTGAAAATATATGTGAATTTGCTTTATTTGTGTATGTTTTGTTAATTTGGCCCGTTGGAATCCTAAATACTTGTAGAATTCGTCCTCTTCCATGGATTCAATAACATCTCCATTTCCAAGTGCAAAATTTCTTTTCTTCGGGACTCCTTTTTCTATGTGAAGTGTTTTTTTTTTCTTTTTTGCATTTCTCTAGGCCAAACTCCATTTGTATGTCTTTGGAGCATAAATATGTGATTTGTAGGAGTTCATGAATTTGTTTTTGTGTGGGTGCGTAAAGTTTTATGTCGTGCGTGTACTGTACATGAGATATGACAATGTAAACTGTCACATCTCATGTACATGTTGTTTCTTTAATTTGGTGTTATGTTGTTTTTAGTGTATAGTGTCAGCCTGCCTAATTGCTGTCTAATGTCATTTGTGTTTCTATTCTTCTTTGCTAAGCAGGTTTGTGATAGAATTGCGTTTTGTGGGTATCTGCGATTGTATTTTCAATCCAAGGTGTGACACTACTGTGACTGCCCCAGCATAAACTAATGTATGAATGTCTGAGGATATAGAAATTAAATGAACGTAGTGTGGTAGTAAGTGTGTGTTTACATAATTTAGTGTTTTTCCTACTACATATATTAGACGTGTTTACTTTTGATATTCGTGGTCTTTGTGTGGGATCTGAACCTGTATATTTAGTGAGTGTTTCCTGAAATATAAGTGAGCGCGTATTAATTAAATCAATGTCTATGTTATCGATAGTGGATGAGGAAGTGTCTGTAGTATCATTAATGGTAGTTGTTCTGTGTGTGCTATTATCATCGCTCGTTGCTGGATTATCCTGACAGGTTACGTGGTCTTCATTAACGTTGAATATTTCTGTCTGTTGATGTATTTGATCAGCAACCTGTTGTTTGATAAGTTCAAGTGTTGTTTGTAGGATAACGTCGTTGCGTATAATTGTTCTTTTTGATCAACAACCCTTTGTTCGGTGACAGTGAGGTAAGGATATTGTTGTGTGAATCTATGGTGTAGTTGTTGTCTGTACGCTGTCATGTTTGTTTCGAGTCTTGTGATGATATAGTAAGTACGAATGATAAATTTGTTCATTTTCACCGTCCATTTCATCCGTTGGCGTGATTTTCCTGTGTTTGTGGTCTACGGATGCATTGCCACAGAAACACCAAGGCTAGGTTGGTTCCTCACAACTGTCGAGGGCATTGCAGTAGCCATGCTTGGGCCGGCACTGTTTTTTCCACTGGTAACCAAGGGAGACTGTGGCCTATTTTTCGAACGTGTGCCTTTGTCTAACCCACGAATGTGGACATTGTTATTAATGCTATTATTATGAGTTCTATGACAATAATGGATATATTTATAAGCAATTTATTAGATTAAGAATGTAATCATTAATGGGAATTCAGTTTAGTTTGATATCATCATGTCTTATTTATTTAAATTATTAAAAAATGAAATTATATTTTATTGATGAGATATATAGAGCTTTAACCTTTCATAATGTATTTTAATAAGGAAATTATCTCAAACTGACAATTTCCCTATTATAAAAAGAATACAATTATTTACTTTTCCAATTTTATTTTATTTTAATATTGAAATGATAAATATTTTTCTACTTATCAATACCATTTGTGTATTTTAAATACATATTTTCCGTTAGAAACGCATTTATATATTCTATAAAGAGTGGCTCAAAAGTCAGTTAACTATTTTAAGTACTAAATTAAGTAAAAGAATACAATTGATTCAATTGTATTTTTTTTTTTTTTTAATTTTTCACTAATTCTGGCAAAAGGAGCACAGTACATCTGTTCTAAATCCAATTTACAATCAATATTCACAAGTACACCTGCAATACATAAAACAAAAGACAGTTAACTGAATTTTGGGCCACCCTATGTGCGTTTATTGTTTTCAATATTAAATATAAGGCATTCATTGTTTAATGTTTAAAATATAAAAGGCATTTGTGTATTCCGAAATAGATCTTTATCAATTTGCAACAGAGATGTATTTATTTAATTAAATATAAAACTATATTTTACCTTTGTTTTCTACGTTGAAAAGATCTTGAGAAAATCTTATAGCGCATGCGCATATTACATTTTTGACTTTATCGTCTGCTTCTGATTCTTCGATTGGAGTGTTGCCAGATGTTCCGGTTTTTCCGGGATTATTCAATATTTTTTCCGACTGCCACCTAGCGACAATGAAACTTTATTTAAAAAAAAAATGTTTTTACAATGAAGTATATTTTTATTTTTTTCACATTTTAATGTAATTCTGTCACTAGTAGAGTAAAAATACGCATCCCGCATGTCATGAAATTCAAACGTTCCAGTATCTTTCGGGAAGAACTCATTTTATATAGCGACTCTTGTCTTACCAAAAGACAAAGCTTGCGTTTCTATTTTAAAAAAAATTATTTAAAAATTGATAAAAATTCGAAAATAATAATTTATTTTAATTGATTAAAAAATATATAGAGAGAGAAAAAGCTTTTAAAAATTTCAACAAATTCTATTAGAAGACAGATGACCTATCTGTTTAGCGTTTGATTTGCTTCCAAAATATTTTAAACTTTCTATTATTAATATTTATAACATTTAAATAATTGCAAATAATATAGCATAAATGTGCTATTTTACTGTATTAAATGAATTAGAAAGTCATATTAAGGATGAATTAACTTATAATTAACTCTGAACTTTGTATAAAGATATTCTTTTAATGATTCGTCCGCATGTCTGTACGTATTCTTCATTTCTGTTTTGAAAACCGTTATAATCTTATATAATTATAATATTTCCAGGCAAAATATCAACAATCGAATAAAAATATCACGTTTGTTTTGCTATTTTTTCTTCTAATTTTATTATAAATTTTCAATCGAATTACTATTAAAATTCTTTTATTGTTGTGACGAAAAGAGGAAAAAAACTGTAACTCTATATTTTACTGTATAACATTCTTTGAACGGTTGCTACTTCTAAACAGATTTAAATAAAAACTTAGAATATTTTAGATGTTATTAAATATAACCTTTTAAAATATGTTATTTTATCGATTATCCGTACATAGATAAAATATATATAAATTGATCCAAAAATCAATATTTATGGATAGTTTCAAACATGTATAATTTTCAGAAAAGATAGGAAGGATTTATAAATAACAGGTAAAAACTAGTACGTGTTTTTAGCGACTTTTGATTTAACTTAAAAATTATCAAACTTTTGTGATATTTTTAAAATTATAATATATTCATGCAATCGTTATGATTATCCTTATTAATTTTTTTATATTTTTATAATTTATAAGCTAAATGCATAATTTTTTTTAAAATTAAGCGAACTCCACTTCCCTTCTTTTAAAGATGGCGTCTGGGACTATAGTCTCCATTTTTATAGGAAGAGTAAGCGAAGAAAATTAAATATAATGTAGGATAATTATTCCTTAAAATGTAAAACAGTCAAGCATAGAAAAATATATTTATATTTTATATTGTAAAGCCGAATCGCATACTCGCTGATTACTTAGAATGAACTGCGCAATAGCGTAACTTCGCATTGTATTTATGTTACGCTTTCAATAATGAAACAGCGTATCCATTTTTACGTTTGTGATGAATATATAAAAAAACTTTTCTACATTTCGACGGGAATCGTTTATTATTAATACTGAATTATAAGAAATGTTCATGTGATTCCACGTCGCAAGATCACAACATCGCCGCAACGCGATGCGACGACCCCACGTCGATACTGAAAACTTTACACGTATTGAAAAATTGACCTAAATTGAATGAAATTTTTAAAATAAAATAATTATTATCGACAAGTTTAAATTAATATTTATAAGAGTATAATTATTAATAAAGTTTATATTATCGAATTATTTTTCAATTTGTTAAAAAAAACTTTAATTATTTAAAATTACGCAATAAATAATTATATAGTGTTATAATTTTTATTTTTAATATTAAAAAATGAATAGTAAATTCACTTCAGTACGAAAAATTTAAATGTAATAAAAAATAAAAATAATAATAATAATTGTATATATGCAAATGAGCACGAGCGTTGCAACGTAACCGTTGAAGGCGTGACGTCAGTTTCTTGGCTGCGACGGCTACACAACGTGTTTTTTTCTCTAACCGGATCCAATCGGTATTACATTTATCATCATCAAACCATTAAGATGCTGCGTGTGTTACTGACTATTTCGTTTCTTACTTTTTCCAGAGTTTCGACCGAACCTGGAAATCTAACTCTAGTAAACAGCATGGAGGAAAATGGAGTTGTTCCTGATGTTCTCGACACCGCCCCACGTTATATAGCCGAGGTAAGGTCAATTCACTTTCATCATACGCTATAAAATAATTAAATTTAAATATTACTAAAGTTCTTCGATGCTTTAAAGCCTTCGTTATGCATTAAGCTAAAGAATCTAAGCAGAAATGGCTGCTACATGTGTAAATGATATATTTTTACATTAATAAGGCGACGTGAATTGCAAATTTTATGCTTTTTAATTACATAATTAATGTGTCTGTCGATTGCATTTATTAGAGAGTCGACGAATCATTCTTCCATGCTTAATTTTTAATATATATTTCATTCTTTTACAAATTGTAGAGAAAACGTTATCTGAAACGTATCTAAGGGTCATTGCTGTCTTCTATATATATATCTGTACTGTTGTCTGCCCACTTATAAGATGCACAGACAGTTCCAAGCTTTGTTGTTTATCTTGAGTGTGTAATTTTTGGAAAGGCTGCATAAAAAGCATTAGAAGGTAGATTTTGTTTTAAAACTTTTCAATAAAGGTGAGAGATCTGGGTACTAAAACTGATGTGATTTTTATAATTCGTATCTGTATTGTTACGAGTTATAAAAATCGTATGCTCGTCTAACTATTTATGATTTTACGGTACAAATACGACTCCGGATGAGGTGGTTGGGGTCGTGTTGGAGCCATTTAGAAGTAAAAATGTCAAAATAACTTGTGGTTATGTGACCCTTAGCAGTATATAGTCCCCTTGAAACTAGCCTGCCTAGAACGTCGAAGACCTTCAAATATAGAGTAAAATTTAGAGATACTGTTCCTCTGACTTTTTCCGTCGTCTAGTGGGGTAGGAAATTTGGTTATAGGGTCCAAATCCCTCGTTTGAAACTGAAATTTTATCAATTTTAGAGTCTAGATGACCTAACTTTATCAATAATGTACTTTAATTACTGCAAATTACTTAATTTTAATTACCGAGTTTGAAAATTAGAAGCTATAATTTAAACGGCTTCAAAATAAATTGTGATATTTCTAAAGAAATTATTTTCCGTGTGAAATTTGTTAGTTTTATTATAGCATATAGTAATAGAATTAGTGTGATGATACTCTCTGATATTTATCTATACATTTTCATATAATATTTTAAGTATAAATTTTATGAATACTTTTTTGGATTCTTTTTGGGAATAATGAATTAGAAAGTGACCGTGACATATAATAGATAGAATATAATTGCTATTGCTCTGGTAATCTTGTAATACTGATAAAGGAAAATCATAAAACTGAGAATAAACAGCAAATATCAAGTAAGAAAGGAAAGTAAAATGTGATTTCTTAATTTGTTGAGTCAAAGTAGAAATAGAAGTAAAATAATGCAGATTCTGAGAGAAAGAGAATGCTAATTTATATAATTCCAACTGTTTATTCCAACAAAATCATTTTATTGTAAAATATTGAGAGACCTTTTAATCCAATTTACATATTTGTAAGCAAGGAAGAGCCTTAAAAGAAAGGTCAACTCTGCTCATGTCAGATGCGTGTTCCTGTGGTTGTGTAGGATGTATGAAGACATCAAGATTTTATTTGTAGCCTATTTAGTGTTCACTATTTTATAAAGAAATCATTTTAGCCTAATTAAAATAATTTTCTAAATTAAATTTATTATGCTAGTAATGAAATCAATGGAAGTTTCATAAGCAGTTAAATACTGTGTTTATATATAATTAAAAGTTTAATTTAATGTAAAAATATATTTAATTATCTACTTAAATTAATTTTTAATTAGTTTAGAAAATTAAATATGTAAAAAGTTAGGATCATAAATGACTAAGAATTAAATAAAGCAAAGCTGTTTTAAATTTTAAACACTTGTAACAGGAAATTTCATATTGCGATATAATGTTTTCGTAAGCACTTTAATTTTCTAGTAAATCCACGATTTTATAACTTCATATTAATTCATTTAGAAATTTGTAGTATTTCCATTCTAATTCTTGGTACTTTTCGGTATATGTATCAGAATTAAATTTATAAATATAGACTAGAAAACATCTCTAAAATGAAAAGCAATAACTTTGGTTTTTTTGGTTATGTCTTCAGTTTTATTGTCTTTCATCTTTATTTCATATAACACAATTTTCTAGCAAATGATTAATTTGATATTGTATGGAATAAGAGTATGAATAATGATTTAATGAAATAATTTAGCTCAATCCCTAAAGAAAGTTAATTCTGTATCATGCATTAAGACTCTAGACTTCATAACAGGAATGATTTGCATGACAGATCATGAGTATATATTAAATGAAATTCCTTGTAGTGTAATTGTTGATTTAAAATTTAGGCATCACTTATTCTAGAGAATTCATTAACTTTATTATATGTAAAGACAACATGTAGTTTATTCTCTGTAACGAACCTCATCAATCAAAATTTGGTTGGAAACAATTGAATTACAATTTAAGAACATACCAATATAAATGTTATTAATTAAGGATACAATAATTGAGATCATAGGGTTGATTACACTAATTAATGTTACAGTGTGCTGCAGTATACTGTTTTAGTATGGTTGCAAAATACTAAATTTGAAGCTAAAGCAGAAGTGTTGATCTCAACTAGAACAATGTTTGTAATTAGATTCAGAGAATTAGCTCATTAAAAGCCAATGGTATAGTAATTTTGTTTTGTTAATAATATAATTTGACTTTTGTTATAGTCCAATGTTTGCAGTAATGAAGTTTTTCTGAATTACAAAGTATTACTCATACATAACTAATAATACAGTTAATTTAACTTGAATGCGCAAAAACATTTATATTCTTTCTTCTTTCCAAGAAATAGATGGAAAATATGGTAATGGCATTTCTTATCAGCAATTTTCTTTGAACCACAAATACAAATTGAAATGCTTGACTTACCTGAAAATGAGTTTCATTGAAGAAGCAGCAATTCTAAGTTTACCAGGCATATTTAGAGAAGTTTTAGATGCTAACACCTCATAACCTAAATTTCTTACCATTAACTTAAAAATGTTTTGGAAAAGTTGAATTAGTGCTTAGCCTTGGCACATACTCTAACTTACTCCAAGGTTAACTTGTGTACAAGAAGCAAATCCTGTTTATAATAATAATCATCTTATTTACAATATATTGTTTCTCATTTCTTTAATTTTGATAAACAATTCTGTATTCTGATAGTTTATGAGAGAGCTTTTTTTTCTAGAAGTCTTATCTCTGTTTGAATTAGATAAGTTTTCATAAAGCTAATTCTCAAAAATAGCTGATATTGATTTTTGATGTAGTTGCCAGAAAATTGATTCAAGTTTATGAAGAAATATATGAAATATTTTAATTTGTAAAAATCTGAGGTATTCTGTTTAGAAGAGCTGTTATAGATCTCTAATTTTCTAAAAAGAGAATTACATGTAATGACTTTAAATACTTGTACCAATAATTAAAGTTTGTGTAATGATGTAAGAAATACATGAGCTAGTTTTTGTAATTTGTCCTTCTTTAATTCTAGTCCTTGATGTATCAAAGCAGTTATATTTTATTAATATTATAAGTAATGTTTTATGGAAAATGTTTACACTTTATTTACTACAAGTTGTTTAAAGCAGAGATAGTGTTTTATATACAGTAGAGCATCGATTATCCGACTCAATTGGGGACTGGGGTTGGTCGGATAACCGAAAAGTATGAAAAAATACATTATTAGTATAGTATATTATTATATCTAATGTAATTAGTATATCGCTATTAACCTACTTCTCATTGAATTTTCATCAGTGTTAAGCCTAACAAAATTTTTTAAAATAATAATCATCGCTATTGTGTCGTTAAAAATTATTTTTAAATTATTTTATTGCTCACAAAACAAACCACCACTCATAATTAGAAAATTAAGCCTTATTTAAATATTGGCATCCCTTTTGTGGGGATGCCAGCTAAAACACCAAAAATTTAACGAAAATAATATTAAAGTAGCCAAGACACAGCCAAATATTATAGCGCCGCATCACCAGCGGACATTTGAATTTGCCGACTAGAACGTGGTCAGTTAACCGATGTGACGGTTGATCGGGGATCGGATAATCGATGCTCTACTGTATATACTAGATCAAAGTGACAGGTAAATTTAAAGTTTTTATAAAATAAAACTACTTTTCTAATATCGTTTAGTTGAATTTTTCGATTCTGTTCTAATATTATTTAATATAATTAAAATGCCATTAGAATATTTAGAAATTTACATATAAAAGTAAAATGAAGACAATGCAACAAAGCATTTTTAAATTTGTCATTTTTTAAATATTAATGTGACAGGAAAATTTACATTTTACTGTTTAAAAAGCTGTGAAATGTCAAACACTGCTGTAATTTTCAGTTGAATACATTCAATAGTAGTATCTTTTGTATGATAAATATATTTTGAAAACAATATAATTTATTTTGAAAGTATATTATCATACATAAATATACAATGTATGGTATCAAATATCAATGTATATAAATATAAATTGCAAAAATATTCTACTTACACATCTAATGCATGTAAGATGTTCATGCAGTGAATTCACTTTTTGGATATTATCAATTTTAATGTTAGAATTAGCAAGTCCACAAATATAAGTTAAAATACACTTAAAGGTGAAATTGTGATTACAATAAACAATAGTTTTAACATCATTTCCTTCAGATAAACAGGCAGAAAGATTTTTCGTGCTGTTTACACTCACTGCATAGTCTTGTATTTTCGTATGAAATGTAGAATCTCTGCTGTTAAGTGTTTTTAAATAGTGATGTTGATACTATTTAATTCAGGTCGAAGGTACGTTTAAGTAATAATGTAAGGAAATCTCTCTTAATGCCAAATGAAATCTTTCATTTTTATAGTACATGTACAAAACTGGCATTTTGTTTTTTATATATATCCCAAATTTTTATATAAATAAATAATAGAAATTATGTGTAGCTGGTTTGCAAAGTGATTTATGCAGTTACTAATATTGATCAATAACTTCATAGATTTTTTTTTACTGTATGGCTTTATGT